CAAGGAAGGTTCCATTAGCACCAGAATCAATAATGGCTTCAGTCACGATTCTTTTTGTATCCCACTGTAATATGAGAGATATAGAAAAATAAGTAGATGTTTTTCTTTTTTGAAGAACGTTCAATATAGAGGTAGATGAATGAAGCTTACCAGCTTTTGAATGTTTAAGTAGAGGACATTCTGGAATTAGATGTTCTTTTGAAGCACAATACATACACAGATTTAGTTGTCTCCTTCTTATTCTTTCTTCAGAAGTAAGAGGACTTCTTATTATACCAACTTCCATAGGTTCATTTTGAGGAAGAAATTTTTCAGGAATTTTTGGAGAAGTAAAATGTTTTCTCCAGTTAGAAGTAGTGTGAACTTTTTCAGCCCTTCTTTCTCTTAGACGTCTGTCAATACTAATGGAAAGTTGAATCAATGCATTTAAGGTAGGAGGAAGTTCAGTACGAGAGAGTTCATCTTTCACAGCTTCTGATAATCCGAGACGGAATTGATTGCGTAGAGTGATGTCATTCCATTGGGTTTCTGTAGCCCATCTTTTAAATTCTGCAATATAATCTTCAACAGGTCTGTTCTTTTGGTGGAGAGTTCTGATGTTTAAATCAGCAGTAGCCTGTTTATAAGGATCTTCATATAATGAAGACATAGCTTCAAAGAATTCATCCAATGAATCTAATATGGGATCATCATTCTCTAAAAAGGAATGAGCCCATGCCATAGGTTCACCTCTTAAAAAAGAAATTACTGAACAAACTTTTGATCTTTCAGTGAGATAAGATCTAGGTTTTAAAGCTATCAGAAGTTTGCAAGAATTCAAAAACTCTCTGTACTTTGTTCTATCTCCATAAGATTTTTCTGGATTACAGACAGCAGGATCACCAGCCGATTGAAGAGCGGCATGAGGAAGATGGCCTTGCATGTCTCTAACATAGGTTAATATTCTCTCATTCGTGATTTGCAGTTCCTGTAACCCTTGAGCAATCGTATCCACTCTATTGGTTAGGGCAGAAACTTGTGAGTTAATATCTGCTGGTTCCATTGAAATCGGCTGGATTATTCTGTGATACTTATTTGTAATACTTCTTTTATTGGAACTCAACTGCAGAAACAATAAGTTTCACCTCCTTTTATATTGAAGTGAACAAGGTTGACTGTATCTTTAAATACACATGCAGGGAAGAAATGCAATGCTAGTTCCAACTTAATTAAGATGGAATGATTTATGAAAATTATGTTAATGAAGCAGGACAGGCTTGCAATTAGAATAAATTGATATTTGCAGGAAGAATTAGACTTAGTAGCAATCCCTTATTGACAAGAGAGAATTTTAGTGAAATTTAAATACTGTATAAATTAATTAATATGAATTGGTTTCCTTGGCAAAAAGGTTTACTTAACTTAGAGGCAGTTCTGGCAATGGAAGGGTTAATTCACCCAATGGAGGAGAAATAAGGAGTCTCTATTAATAAGCTGAGCGTTAGGAGTGGAGAGTAAGGAAGTCCGTTTTTACTAGCCGAGGTCTGGGAGTGGAGAAGGTAGAAGTCCGTTTTTACTAGCCGAGGTCTGGGAGTGGAGAAGGTAGAAGTCCGTTTTACAAGCCGAGGTCGAGAAGTGGAGAAGGTAGAAATCTGTTTACAAGCCGAGTTCCGGAGAGGAGTGGAGCCGGTAGCATTCAGTAGAGCAGCTGATCTCAATGCAGTACCTGCGTGAATAATCCAGCCCTTTGAATCTGGCGCGGTCTTCCTAAGTATCTTGGAAGGACCGCGTCAGAGAAAGGGGCGGGCTAAGCGCCGTGAACCCGGAAGTGGGTTCCGGCGGCAGTATGAAAGATAGAGTATACCTGACAGTACCCCCTTCTCATGGGGCATCCTCTGGGTGCACTTACTTTGGTTTAGAGGGATAGCGTTTGTGAAAAGCATCAACTAATCTTTTTGCATGAACATTAGATGAATCTTCCCAAGTATCTTCATCAACTCCATAACCTTTCCATCTAATAAGGTATTGTAAGGTGCCTCGGTGGACACGTGAATCCAAAATCTTGTGTATTTCATATTCTTCTTCACCTTGGACGATGATAGGTTCAGGAGTTGTAACTATTTCTCTATGAAAAGGATCAGGGATGTGTGGTTTAAGAAGAGAGACATGGAATACTGGATGAAGTTTAAAACTTGGAGGAAGTTTTAATTTAACAACGTTATCATTGATAATTGTAATTATTTGAAAAGGACCAAGAAAAAGAGAGCTCAATTTCTTTGAAGGACGGTTTGTGGTAATATTTTTTGAAGAGAGCCAGACAAGATCCCCCACTTTGTAAGGAGGGGGAATTCTTCTTCTATTGTCAAAAAACTTTTTCTGGTAGTTTTGAGCGAGTTGAAGATTCTCCCGTAATTTGAGGAATAGAGAGGACATAAATTCATTTTTTGATGTAACCGTAGGATTGGATGAAGTAATAGTTTGGATGGGAAATGAGGATGGATGAAACCCATAGTTGGAGAAGAAAAGAGTCATTTTCGTACTAGAATGAATGGTATTGTTGTAAGAAAATTCAGCCATAGGTAACCATGTGGTCCAGTCATCTTGCAGGTATGAACAATAACATCGGAGATATTGTTCCAAACATTGATTAACTCTCTCTGTTTGCCCATTAGTTTGGGGATGATAGGCGGAAGAGAGTTTGCGTTGAATTTGAAGAGAGAGACACATCTCCTTCCAGAATTTGGAGGTAAATTGTGTCCCCATATCAGAAATAATTTCTTCTGGAAGACCATGGAGTTTTATAATATTATCAATAAAGACTTTGGACAATTCTACGGAGGAGGGTAATTTTTTTAAAGAGATGAAATGGGACATTTTTGTGAAGCGGTCCACAACAACAAGAATAGTGGTGAAATGTCGAGATGGTGGAAGGTCAACGAGAAAATCCATAGAAATGGATTGCCAAGGTTTTTTTGGAATGGGTAAGTTAAGTAGTAATCCGAAAGGTTGATTATGTTCAGATTTGGACCTTTGACAGATAGGACAAGTTTTGACATATAATTCAATGGTTTTATCTTGGCGAGGCCACCAATAATATCGTGAAGTTAGCTCAAGAGTTTTCTTTATTCCAGGATGTCCCGCTAGGGGTGAATCATGAACCATCTTAAGTAATTTGTTCCTAAGAATGGGAGGAATATAAATTCTATTTTTAAAGTAAAACATACCATCCTGTTTTGTCAAATTAGGCGTTTTGGGAAGTTCAAGATCCTTGGGATTCAAATTCTTTATGTCATCCTGAAGAGAAGAGAGGATCCCTATTATTTTGTTAGGGGGATAAACATCAATAGTAGTTTTAGAAGGAATTCGAGATAGAGCGTCAGCCTTTTTATTCCTAGTTCCAGGTCTGTATATTAATTGGAAGTTAAATCGGTTAAAAAATAGGTTCCATCTAACTTGTCTAGCCGTAAGGGTTTTGTTAGTATAGAGATATTCAAGATTTTTATGGTCAGTATAAACTATTATAGGTTGTTTTGTATCTTCTAGAAGATGACGCCAATTTTCGAAGGCAGCTTTAACACTTAATAATTCTTTTTCACCAATAGGATAATTTTTTTCAGCAGAGCTCAAGGATCTTGAGAAGAAGGCAACTGGATGAAGTGGATCTTGAGGAGTCTTTTGTTGAGAAAGAACTGCTCCGATAGCTGAATCAGATGCATCGACTTCAAGGACATATAAGAATGTT